AAAAAAAAAAAAAAACTAGGCACAATACAAAATTTCATGAGCTGATGAATGGATAAAAATATTCATACAAGGAAACATTATGTAGCAATTAAAATGAATAAACTATTGATGCCTCATACTGTCTAAATAAACCTCAAAAATTTCATATTAAATGAAAAAAATCAGAAGCAAAAGGCCATATACTATATGATTCCATTTATATGAAATGTCTAAACAAAACCACTGGGATCAAGTCAATTTAGATGCAGAGCGACCCCCATTAGATTTCCAAGGCTGTAAATCTTTACAAAGGTGCTCTGGTAGCCTAGTGCCGAAGGCACATGACTGCTAACCAGAAGGCTGGTGGTTTAAACCCACCAGGCACACCTCGGAAGGAAGATGGGGCAATCTACTTCCGTAGCGATACCGCCTCGGAAACCCAAGGAGGGGTCGCTATGAGGCAGGTCCGATTCCATGGCACCTAACAACAACAACACAACAACAACAAATCTTTACAGAAGTAGACTGCCTTATCTTCCTGTGCCACCACAGCTCCTTATGAAATGTCTAGAAAAGGTAAATTTGTAAAGACAGTAAGCACATCAGTTGTTACTTAGGGCTGGGGATGGGATTGAAGATTCACTGCAAACAGACAAAAGGGAAATTGCGGGGTGATAGAAATGTCTTAAAATTAATGATGGTTACACAAACTCTGTAAGTTAACTAAAATCAATGTATATTTATGATGGGTGAATTTCGTAGCAAACTCTACTTCAACAAAGCTGTTAAAAAACACATTGGTTGGTATATTGTCAAAACGAGTACAACCATAAAAAATTATTTTAAAATACTTGAATTTCTGCATATTGTCAAAATGAGTACAATCATAAAAAAAATAATTTGAAAACACCTGGATTTATGTAGTTCTAATTACCATATCAGGGCCACATGGGGTGCCATCTTCTACAAATGTCTCATCTCTGTCGTCGGCATCGAAATATGTTGTGACTGAAACACGACCCGTTCTAGGTGGCTTCTCTATGGCTCGAAATGTAGATACACATGTTTCATTTCGTATATGTGTATAAATCACAGATAAATTTGCACGTACTATTAATCTTTTGTGTGGCCACGAACAAACTAGTTTTCCACATAGAAGATTACTAGAGATATAAAGCAGAAAAAAATTCTTTTTCTAGTTATTGAAATATTATAAGCTGCTGATGTAGGCTAACTAAGGTAAAATAATGTTTCACTAATTTAATACCGGTTTCAACTATTTTCTTTCAGTAGACTTTTTTGAGCATGTTTACTTATGATGTGACTCCTTCTTTGTTAGGCAATGTGGCAAGTGAAAAGTTAGTGAATTTTGCAATCTGATAGCCCTGTGTTCCTTTTGCAGATCTGTCCTATACTACCTTTTGATCCTTGAGCAGATGAGAAACGTGATCTCACTGATTTTTTTTTCTTGTTATTGTTCTAAGATAACACACATAAAGTGGCTATATCCACCAGAGCCAGAGAAAGTCAATTTAGAAAAAGAGCCAATTAAGCAATAAAATCAGTAGCAAAGTCCAGTTCATATGGTCAACAGATGAGAGCAAAGATGGTGATATGAGACCAAGACCAAGAGGATGGCAATCAAAGTCTAAGTGGTAAGATGGAGAGAACTGTCTTGGTTCCCTTAATCAGACTATTTTCCTACCTCTGTAGCTGCCTGAAGTCTCCATGAAAGAATCTAGGGCAGCTACAGAAACTATGAGTAATTAGGTAACCACTTTCTGTTCACTGGCTTTACTATTCACTTTCACCACCAAAGGAGAAATAGACTGCACATATTCTGACCTAATGACCAACAAGCTCAGTTTTCACTTAAATAAACTTTGCCAATTTGTAGGAGAAAACTTAATTGGGAGTAGGAGAGGAACATTTGATTTTGAATCAAGCTCTATTTTTATTACTTAAGCCATTAATCAAACTGCCTGTGGCAATATTTGGAAGATATGCACATGACTGAAATAATATCCAACTTTTTGCTGAATTGTTTATAAACATCCTGTCAATATACTTATGAACAAAAACATATGGGATTTAGCCTTTGAAAGAAATTCATAATCACCTCTCCTGCTCTCACCTAATCTTTTGTTTAACTTTTTATTGTGATTTTGGTGAAATTTCACAAAGCAGACTTGTTTTACATTCAACAGTTCATACATTTTGTTTTGTGACACTGATTACATTCCCTGCAATCTAACAGATTTCCTCCCACTTCCTCCCTGTGGTTACTCTCTCCCTGTGTCCCTCTTGCCTCTGCATTCCTGCCTGCCTATCTTTCTCCCTGTACAAATGCTGCCCTTCTGATCTCCCATGTTTGTTCTAAGTAGGACATCACCCTGGTGTAGTTGTTAGGCCAGTTGTTGTTGTTAGGTGCTGATGAGTCATCTCTGACTGATAGCGACCCTATGTACAACAGAACAAAACACTGCCCAGTCCTTGGCAGCCTCACAATCTTTGCTAAACCTGAGGCCATAGTTTCAGCTACTGTGTTAATCCATCTTCTTGAAGGCCTTCCCCTTTTTCGTTCACCCTCCACTTTGCCAAGCATGATATCCTTCTCCAGGGAACGGTCCCTTTTGACAACATGACCAAACTAGGTGAGAGGAAATCTGGCCATTCTCACTTCCAAGGAGCATTCTGGCTGCACTTCTTCCAGGACAGATTTGTTAGTTCTTTCAGCAGCCCATGGTACTCTCAGTATTCTTCACCAACACCACAACTCAAAAGCATCAACTCTTTTCCTAAGGCATTTGACTGCTAACCAGAAAACTGATGGTTCAAACCCACCAGCTACTCCTCAGCAGGAAGATGGGGTGATCTACTTCCACAGAGATACTGCCTCAGAAACCTGAGGAGAGGTTGCTATGAGTCAGATTTGACTTGTCAGCAGTGAGTTTGGTTTTCGTTTTATTCATTATCCAGCTCTCACATGCATATGAGGCTATAGAAAATACCATGGCTTGGGTTAGGCACACTTCAGTCTTCAAGGAGACATCTTTTCTCTTCAGCACTTGAAAGAGGCCTTTTTCAGCAGATTTGCCCAATGCAATACGTTATCTGATATCTTGACTGCTGCTTCCACTGCTGTTGATTATAGAACCAATATGAAGTATTTGACAACTTCAATCTTTTCTTCACTTATCATGATCCTGCTTATTTGTGCAGTTGTGGAATTTTTATTTTCTTTATATTGAGTTGTAATCTATACTGCACAATCTTCATCAGTAAAGTTATCTTTTCAGCAAGCAAAGTTGTGTCATCTGTGAACCACAGGTTGTTAATGAGTCTTCCTCCAATCCTGATGCCATGTTCTTCTTCATATAGTCGATCTTCTCAGATTATTTGCTCAGCATACAGATTGAATAAGTATGGTGAAAGGATACAACCTAACACACTCCCTTCCTGATTTTAAACCATGCAGTATCTCCTTGTCCTGTTCAAACGACAGCATCCTGGTCTATGTGTAGGTTCTACACAAGTAGAATTAAGTGTTCTGAAATTCCCATTCTTCTCAATGTTATCCATAGTTTGTCATGATGCACAAAATTAAATGCCTTTGCATAGTCAATAAAACAAGTAAACATCTTTCTGGTATTCTTTGCTTTCAGCCAAGATCCATCTGACATCAGCTATGATATCCCTCATTTCACATCCCCTTCTGAATTCAACTTGCATTTCTGGAAGTTATCTGTCAATATACTGCTGCAACCAGTTTTTAATTATCTTCAGTAAGATTTTACTTACATGTGATATTAATGATATTGTTCAATAATTTCCACATTCTGTGGGATCACCTTTCTTTGGAATGGGTACAAATATGGATCTCTTCCAGTCAGTTGGCCAGGGAACTGTCTTCCAAATTTCTTGGCATAGCCAAGTGACTGCCTCCAGGGTGGCATCTGTTTGTTGAAACATCTCGGTGAGCATTCGGTCAATTCCTAGAGCCTTGTTTTTCATCAATTCTTTCAGTGCAGCTTTGACTTCTTCTTTCAATATCATTGGTTCTTGATCATATGCTACCTCCTGAAATGGATGAACATCAACCAATTCATTTTGGTACAGCAACTCTGTGTAATCCTTTCATCTCCTTTTGTTGTTTCCTGCATCATTCAACACATTGCCCATAGAATCTTTCAATATTGCAACTTGAGGCTTAAATTTCCTCTTCAATTCTTTCAGCTTGAGAAATGCTGATTGTGTTCTTCCTTTTTGGTTTTCTAACTCCAGGTCTTTGCACATTTCATCATAATATAATTCACTTTGCCTTCTCAAGCTGCTCTTTGAAATCTTCTGTTCAGCTCTTTTATCTTGTCGGTTTTTCCAAGTAGCTTTAGCTACTCTCTGCTCAAGGGCAAGTTTCAGAGTCTCTTCTGACATCCACTTTAGTCTTTTCTTCCTTTCCTGTCTTTTTAATGACCTTTTGCTTTCTTCATGTATGATGTTCTTGATGTCATCCCACAATTCCTCTGGTTTTCAGTAATTAGTTAGTGTTCAATGCATCAAATCTATTCTTTAGATGGTCTCTAAATTCAGGAGGGATATAACCAAGGTGATATTTTGGCTCGTGTGGACTTGTTTTAATTGTCTTCAACTTCAACTTGAACTTACATAAGAAGTTATCTTACTTTGCTCCCTATTAGCTTTAAACTGTATATGGACATTTTTATAGCACAGACAAATACATATGTAGGAATATCATCTGCCAAACCTACCCATGATCATGGGTATATTCCCATTCATATCTCACCTATCCATACCTCATCTTCTTGCCTGTCTACCTATGTGTGCACTCATAGATTAGTGATTGCTATTGCTGATAACACAGTATTATATATGTAATAGTATTTACCTTTATAGTCTGTACTTCTTGTGCACCTCTCCATGTCTTCCTCTTCTTTAGTGATATAGTGCTAGTCACACACTCTTGTTATATTGCTTTTCCTTTCACCCATATCAACACTTGTCCCATAATTGTCCATTCATTTTCTTTTCTTTCCCCTCCCCTCCCTTTTTTCATCAGTAAAATGGGATAAATAATTTTTACTTCCCATGTTCTATGCATATAAATATATAATGCATATAAACTACCTTGTACAGTTTCTAGCTCATCACAACAATAAATAGAGGCCATTTTTCATGGTCAGTTTTGTTGCAACATTATAGGCATTAAGCAAATGTCATTTATTGGCCATAAATTAAATTGTTCAGTTTAAATCATGAAACAAAGAAAGCCTGACATAAAATGTCATTTTACTGTGTATATAATATATTCTAGGACTTTAGAAATATATAACACACATTCCAAACAAAATTATACTTTTCTAAATACATACCTAAATGTACAATGTCTATCACCACAGTTTCCATATCTATCACTTCTGGAATTTATATCCTCAAAACAATCAAAAGGACCACCTGTAGAAGCTTAAAAAAAATAATAAAAAATAAATGTCAATACAGAATCTAAATTATATTATACTCAGATATTATATATCTGGAAATTATAATATGATTCCTAGACCAAAAAAACAAAACAAAACTCTCTGTCGTTGAGTCATTTCCAACTCACAGCGACCCCTCGTTGGGTTTCTGAGGCGGCATCTCTATGGAAGTAGATTGCCCAGTCTTCCTTCCAAGGAGGTAGTTTGAACTGCCAGCCTTCTGGTTAGCAGTCAAATGCCTTAGGCACTATGCCACCAAAGGGGAAAATATATTTTACTTTTGTCCCAAACAAAGCTGTGGAGTAATAATATCGATATTGTAATGTTAATAACAAACTCAAAGAGCATTTGATTAATTTTCTTGTTCCAAAGCAGAGTCCTCATTGTTTCCTACCAATCACTAAAGAAGAATTTTTTTAACGTTAATTAGAAAGGACCTCAATGTATATTTATTTCAATGCTTTTATATATTTTATGTGTGATCAAAAATCATGAAAAATTCAAATATCTACAGCAGATGCCCCACTACCATGACTTAGTTGACTTAGTGGTTAGCGTGCTTGGCATTTATAATGTTAATCATATGTAATAAGAATTGAGATCTTTTGTGGTTACTACTTTTATTTGACAAAGGAATACTCTTCAACAATTTCACAGGTGTTCATACTGGAGGATACAGTCCACAATAAAGAATGATACAAAGCAAGTGAAGGTAAGTTTATGAGCAGAATCCACACTCATCAACAATTCTCTTTTGAAAAGGCCTGCTCTTGAAACTTACCCAAACTGTAACTAGCTTTTCTTTGCTTTGTTCCAATCAAAATCCTGCTTTAATTAAATCTAAATTTACTGTTCCTCAAAATTCTACATAGGGCTGGGTTTAGAATCATGCAAAATTTAAGGTGGATGAGGAACAAAAACTGAGTAATAAAATAAATAACATTTTAGATCAATCAAAATTAATGCAAGAAAAGTCCATGGAACAAAATATTAAAATTTTAAATAAGGGCAGACATTGTTTTATGACTTGGCATTACTGTGCATCCTCTCCAGTGGCCTTATCTGCTCATGTTTCCAGGCTTGGGATGGCAAGGATTCCTGTGTTGTTTTCTTGACTCACGAAGCCCCTCTGTCCTGGTGGACCAACTCTGGACGACAATTTTTCTTTCCCTCCCAGAATGAAGATGGCTGTACTGGGGCGGTTCAGTCACCAAATTTTCCTGGGGTCTCAGGAGATTTAGGCATAATTCTCAACTGCTATCCTACACCTGGCCCCATTCTACATACTTAGAAGTGAGGAAACTACAAAACTAGAAAGCATAATCTCAAAAAGCAGTGATTGGCAGTGGAGTTTGGAATGTTTTAGGATGGAACCTTGACTCCCCCTGGTGCCTTGCAGAAACCGTGGAGCATGTTCTAGAGCAAACACTGCCATCTGATGATGACATCAGGAATTACAATGACAAACCCCATCCCTACTCCTGCCCAACTCAGGAATGCTCAAGGTAATCGCATCAACAGCATGCATTTTTCCCCTGGAAGGGCCAGGTGAAGTGCATGACTCATTTGTCTGATGTGTTTGTTTCTGTTGTTCTTTTCCTCTGCTCCCTTATGTAGTAGGAGCTCTGATAACATAGTGCCTAAAGCACTTGACTGCTAACCAGAAGGCTGGTGGTTCAAACCCAACAGCCCCTCCTCGGAAGGCAGGTCGGGCAATCTACTTCTGTAGTGATACCGCCTCAGAAACCCAAGGAGAGGTCGCTGCTTTGACTGAATCAACAACCCTTATGTAGTTACAAGAATCACTGGAGAAAGGACAATTATTTTGTAAACTTTTATGCAGTGATTCCTTACTTGCTAATTCTTTGCATTTTACAAGTCGCAAAATGTTTTCCCACTATATTTGATTCCCAGGCCAGGGCTGTAATGAAGGCATGTGAGCATTTTTGTATCTCTCTGTGATGAGAACAGTGCTCTTATTTGGGTTGGTGTCACCCAGCAGTAACTCATGGTGATCCCCCCCATAGACCTACTTCCATACCAGACCAAACAGAATCCTTTGTAATGCTTATTATCTATTTTAATCATAGAATAATATGTGATACAGTTGTAAATTGTTTAAATGTAATATTTCTTAGAAATATTCATATAAATACTAGCAAAGCATTCCTATGAATACTAGCAACAAAATTGCTTTGTAAAATCTTTCTACACAGAATTACAACATTATTAGTTACAACATTATTAGTAACTGAGTGGAAGCCTTTTTTTATTTTTCTCCTTCTTTTCTTTTAATTAGGAGCTCTGGTGGCCTAGTGCCTAAGGCATTTGACTGCAAACCAGAAGCCTGGCAGTTCAAACCCATCAGCCACTCCTTGGAAGGAAGATTAAGTAATATAGTAGTGAATCGCCTCCAAAACCAAAGATATGAGTCAGATCTACTCTACAGCAGTTCTTTTCTTTTAATTACTACTTCATTGTCAAAAAAGTTATTGATATAGGTTCACAAATACTAATTACTACAATACTATAGCTAAAACACCAGATAATTTGATAAAATCAGCAACCATAAAAACACTGGCAGCAACAAAAACAGCATGTGTGCAGACAAAACTATGTGATTCAAGGCATTACTGTAATTGAGAAGAAGCAATGACAGCTCTGACTGGAGCCTAATAGAAGATTCAAAAAGTAAATTAGCATGGAGTTTTAGCCTTGTAGGTATATTGACACATGTAAGCTGGGCTTATGAAAAAGATTTTTGTTGCCATAACTAACTACAGGGATATTTTTATAAAATAAATAAATTTCTGCTTAAACTCTGCACAAAAATTTTACTGACAGTCATTTTCATGTCACCCCCTCTGACAGTGTCACCCAGTACGGTCCACACCCTCTACACCCCCTTCAGTGATGCCACTGAGAGAGGAGACCCAGTGCTCTGCTTTGTGACATTGAGCCCAAAACTCATTATAAGCTGCTCTTCATATGTTTATCTCTTTAGAGGTCACAGCAGTCGAGGCATAAATACAATGAGACGGAAGTGTCATTTAGTCCCTTGTGATTAAGCTTCTGGTCCAGCAAGAAGACAGAGGTTTATGAATTTTAATTGCTCCACAAAATACTTCCATGTAAAAACACTCCAGCCCCCACTTATCACTGGAATGTGTAATGGAGCTGGGGATAATCAAAATGTAATAAAACAGGACTTACACACTGCTCTGACTAGGGGCACAACAGAAATAGAATGGGATGGATAGAATGGGAGAAAAATGTAGAACAAAACTCAAGTTCTGAAAAAATGGCCAGACTTACTAAGCTGATTGAGACTGAAGGAACCCCTAAGACTATCACCCTATGATACTCTTTGAAGCTGGAACTGAAGCCACTCCTGCAGGTCACCTTTCAGCCAAATAATAGATTGGCTTATAAATATCACCCATGAGTACTGCACTCCCTTGAATAGTCAAGTACATGAGACCAAACAGTCATTATTTTCCCTAAAGCAAAGATGAAAAAATAAAGAAGGAAGCTAGACTAATGGAAACAGAACAAACAGAACAGAAATAATGAGAATGCTGACATAGTGTAAAAAAAAATGTAACTAATGTCATAGAACAATTTTCATAAAAATCGTTAAATGAGAACTTAACTAGCTATGTAAACTTCACCTAAAACACAATAAAATATTAAAAAAAAAAAAGTCAGGTCCTGGGTGGCTACAAAGGGTCTGATAAGTACATACTCAAGTGTAAAATAGGAAGAAGTTGCGGTCAATTTAGACATACATTTGTATGTCCCAGACTGAAGTTAAGAGACAAAGTAGCATATTTGTAAGCAAAGAAAAATATATTATTTTCACAGTTAGAATTAACCTCAGGTAAGCTGAAGGTAACTGAACCTCATGCAGTCTGAACCTTGAAGTCATCAGTGACTTGACATTATCAGTGGTTCTAGGACAAAAACTCTCCTGTGACTTAACTATGCAAGAATGGTGTTCTGGTTACCTAGTGCCGCTCTGACAGGAATATACCACAAATGGGATAGCCTTAACAAACAGGAGTTTATTCTCTTACAGTTTGGAGGCTTTAAGTCCAAGTTCAAAGTGCTAGGCTCTAGGGGCTGGGTGAAAGCCCCTCAAACTTGGGGTCCAGCTCTGCCTCCTGCTTCTGGCCCACTGGAGCTAGAGGCATTTCTTCACTCAGACAGCTGCTGGCTACTGAGGCTGAGAAGCCTGAGGTTTATAAGTAAAAAGGCACAATCCCGATGTTAGCAAACCACATGGCAGGCCATTAATTCAAGTTCATTGTAAGTCCCAAGGTCAGCAGAGCATGGCAGGATGCTGAACAATGACACAGCTATATGCAGGGTCCAAGCATGCCATATGCTAGGGACCATTCCCCAAGGCTTCTCCTTATATACAGGAAACAGACCACATTCCTAAGGCAGCTACTCAGCTGCTCACAGTAGATTCCACCATGAAGTTGATTACCATTCTCATCATGGTGAATACTACATCCGGCTGCCCAGCCACACAACCAGGCCCAGCCAAGTTGACACACAAACTGAACCACCACAATTGGGATAAAATACAATATTTAATTTAATGCTTCAACAGGATGCACATCCAGTTGGGACATGGAAGTTGGCTTTCTGGCTTTGTGAGACAAATGCTATGTTCTTACATGTTCTAGAAATAGGCCTTTGCATTGCTTGCTCTCTGTTTGCTCTCCAGGAGACCACAAAGCATCACTCAATGGCACTTTGCTTCCAGTTGGAGAGGATGAAATGACAAAATTTAAATAGAAAGAAAAATAGTATCTGCAGAGTGTTATTTCTGCTTATAAACTCTCACTGCCATCAAGTCGATTACGACTCATAGTGACCCCTCCTTGGGTTTCCAAGGCAATATCACTGTTGTTGTTGGTGGTGGTGTTAGGTGCCATCGAGTTGTTTCTGACTCATAGCGATCCCATGCACGGC